CAGACCCTTAACTGTACCCCACAAAACCATAATAAAAAATATTGATTAATAAAAAAAAAATAACAATGTCCATGATTGAGAGGGTAAGACAGAGAGTAAAAACAATGACTTAGTAAAATCTGGATGTTGTCTGTCCCCTCTCAGCCTGTCTTTGAGGATCTTCTCCAGACAGAGGTGGTAGGCTTTCTCTTTGTTTTCATGCAGATCATAAATGCTACTTTGTACAACAATATAGACCAGAATTATGTTCCCATGAAGCCCTTTGGAGAACAGAGCTTAAATGACCAAATCAAGACAACCCGCATACTTATCTTTTTCTGCTGCTGGTTGAAGTTGTCAATAATAACACCAATAAAGAGATTCAGAGTAAAGAATGAGCCAAAGATGATAAAAACTACGAAGTAAAGGTACATGATAGAATTATTCTCAAACGCTGGCTGTTGTTCTTTCTGTTAGAGATTTTTTAAAGAGAGAGAAAAAGAAAACAATTACTGGAGAAAAAATACACAAATATCCTAAGTGTCTTATCTAGAAGATCAAAATGTCTCTCAGCAGCAACATTGAAGATATTGCCTCTCCCGACAGCCATGACCCCTGCAGGGGCAGGGGTAGGGAAGGAACTCCTTTTCTGTCCCCCCTAGCTCAGCTTGGGTAATGGCATGCAGTGGGCATCTGGAGTAGTGGAAAATTGGGCTTTTTCTCCTAAGCAAGGGAGAATTATTGAGGGATTATAAGAGAGAGGAGTGGCATGATCACATTTATCTTCTGAAAAAGTCATTTATATAGAATGTCTATTTGGATATGTAATTGGAGAGAGGCAGACTGAAGGTGAGGCCACCAGAGAAGGGGCACATTCACCTGGGCAGAGGTGATTAAACTACTAACCACTAATTGTTAACTACTATGTCTTCCATACAGAGTCCACTGTTCTACTTAATTTCTAGCTTTGTGCTTTCACTTCTGAATTCCTAGTGCCTAATTATGATATGTAGATTCTCAAAACACAAAAAATAAGTACATTAATGATTTCGTGAATTAATAATCAAGTTCCAAAATGGACACAGATTGACTACAACCAAGCTTTCCTAGCTGAAGCTGTAGCCAAAAGGATCTGAGATCCCTTTCATCCAAGCTCTTTACATCATCATTGGCTTCACCTACTTTGGGGTAGGTGGAGAGAGAATTTCCTTTTTCTCCTCCAAACACATCAAAGACATAGATATTACTATATTGTTACCTCCACTAAGTGTTGATAGCTCTGTCATATGTTGCACTTATTATATTTGTTATTCAACACTTACAAGATAGACTAGTGTATTGGAGGTACTTATTTGAAAATATTTTTCCCTTTTGCTATGAAGAGTACCTTGACCTTAGGCCCAGCTGGCTTGAGGCATCCGTTTCTTTGAACCAAGAGTTGGCATTAGTACAAAAACAATCTAATAGAAAGAAATAATACTCAGCATCAGAGACTTAAAATAAGATTACCAAGTGGGTTACTAGTCTTGCAAGTCGGGTTATTGCCTTAAATTATAGGAATGTCAGCCGGGCTCAGTGGCTCAGCCTATAATCCCGCACTTTGGGAGGCCGAGGTGAGTGGATTGCCTGAGCCTGCAGGTTTGAGACCTGCCTGGGCAACTTGATGAGACCTCATCTCTACAATAAACCAAAAAATAAGCCAGGCATG